TTTCCGCTGCCCCCCCCCCCCCCCCAAGTGCATGGACAAGACAATGTTGTTTTTTTTTGTGTCCTTAACTAATGGCCGTCCTCTGGGCGCCTCTCGTTCACCAAACGATCCTCCTCCGGTGGAGCGACCGTTATGTCATTCTTGAACATCATGTCTACAGGGACGGGTTGGGGTTGTCTGGTCAACTTCGACCACAGCACAACGATCGCGGCGGTGCCTTGACCTTGAGCAATCGCCTTCAAGGCTTTAACTTTCTCAGACTCTTTTTTCTTGAGATTCCTCTCCTTGTCTCCCTTCGACGTCCGCATCTTGCTCCACGGCAGTGCCTTGACCTTGACCCCGTTTTTCCCCGTGATGCTTTCGGACGCCAGCTTGGCCACCTCTTGGTCAGATACGTTCCCGGGTTTCAGCTGGTCAGCGCCCCCCTCTTCGTCTGTGGCCGGTTGTTGACCTCGGGCGCGACACCGTTGGTAAATGATGTAACAGAGAACGAGGCCGAAAAGTGGCAGGGGCGTCATGATGGCCGAGGATGCAGGGCCGACTGCAGCCAGCTGGTTATCCGGCGGGGGAAGGGATAGGAACACAATCAAGAAAGCGATGCCAGTGTTCTGGGAAGTTGGAGAGAAAAAAACAATCAGGTCATGGTATATTGATTTGTTACATAATATTACAACGGAATGGAACTGATCAATGCTAAAAAAAATTCTGGTAATTTGAAGAGCAAAACTGATTGACCGACAAAAGACTTAAACCCGACACTAAACTAATTATCTTAGTTTAGAGCAGTGGTTCTCAACCTTCCTAATCCCGTGACCATGAAATACAGTACCCCAGGTTGTGATGGCCCTCAACCATTAAATTATTTTCCTCTCAACTTCACAAATTTAGAGTATATATATATGTGTTTTCCGATAGTCTTAGTCTTAGTCGTTCTAACCCCACAGTGGTCGCGACCCACAGGTTGAGAAGCACTGGTTTCGAGTATACTCCCACCGACCTGTATCCCCGTTTCTATGGCGATGGTTTTGACTCGGCACCACGACTGGCACAAGACGAGGGACACAAGCCCGCCCACCACGTAGCCGAGGTAGGGCAGCAGGCAGCCGGCAGCGATGGTCATCGGCTTGATCAGCCGGAAGATGAAGAGGTTCGTGTAGATGCCGAGAGAAATCACGAACGCCACAACGACCAGCAGCACGGGTTTGAGGACCTTCATGATGACCTTGGTCAGTTTCGGTACCTGGTGAAAATAGAGGCGATGAAAAGATGAGTTGCTGCTTTTTTTTAAAGATGTTTTTCTTTTATATTACATCACTTGACTTTTAAAGTCATTCATGCATTAAGTATGTATGATTGATATGAAGACATTATTTATTTCACTGAGATGGATGAGGAAAAGATATAAAAAATAATATAATTTCGGTCCGATCTGGGGGTGGGGCTGTCATGGCCTTGAAGCAATGTCATGACATTGAATAAATGAAATAATGTCATATTCTTGAAAGAGTGTCACGTCTTGAGATAAGTGCCATGGTCTCAGACGCAAGTGTCATAGTTTTGAGAGGAATGTCATAGTCTCGATGCAAATGTCATAGTTTTGAGAGTAAGTCATAGTCTCGATGCAAATGTCATAGTTTTGAGAGTATGTCATAGTCTCGGCGCAAATGTCATAGTTTTGAGAGAAATGTCATAGTCTCGATGCAAATGTCATAGTTTTGAGAGTATGTCATAGCTTTGACGTAAATGTCATAATTTTGAAATTATTGTCACAGTCTTGATGTAGATGTCATAATTTGGAGACGCATGTAATGGTTTTGATGTAAATTTCATTGTTTTGTGATAAATTTCATAGTATTAACGTAAATGTCATAGTATTAACGTAAATGTCATAGTATTAACGTAAATGTCATAGTATTAACGTAAATGTCATAGTATTAACGTAAATGTCATAGTATTAACGTAAATGTCATAGTATTAACGTAAATGTCATAGTATTAACGTAAATGTCATAGTATTAACGTAAATGTCATAGTATTAACGTAAATGTCATAGTATTAACGTAAATGTCATAGTATTAACGTAAATGTCATAGTATTAACGTAAATGTCATAGTATTAACGTAAATGTCATAGTATTAACGTAAATGTCATAGTATTAACGTAAATGTCATAGTATTAACGTAAATGTCATAGTATTAACGTAAATGTCATAGTATTAACGTAAATGTCATAGTATTAACGTAAATGTCATAGTATTAACGTAAATGTCATAGTATTAACGTAAATGTCATAGTATTAACGTAAATGTCATAGTATTAACGTAAATGTCATAGTATTAACGTAAATGTCATAGTATTAACGTAAATGTCATAGTATTAACGTAAATGTCATAGTATTAACGTAAATGTCATAGTATTAACGTAAATGTCATAGTATTAACGTAAATGTCATAGTATTAACGTAAATGTCATAGTATTAACGTAAATGTCATAGTATTAACGTAAATGTCATAGTATTAACGTAAATGTCATAGTATTAACGTAAATGTCATAGTATTAACGTAAATGTCATAGTATTAACGTAAATGTCATAGTATTAACGTAAATGTCATAGTATTAACGTAAATGTCATAGTATTAACGTAAATGTCATAGTATTAACGTAAATGTCATAGTATTAACGTAAATGTCATAGTATTAACGTAAATGTCATAGTATTAACGTAAATGTCATAGTATTAACGTAAATGTCATAGTATTAACGTAAATGTCATAGTATTAACGTAAATGTCATAGTATTAACGTAAATGTCATAGTATTAACGTAAATGTCATAGTATTAACGTAAATGTCATAGTATTAACGTAAATGTCATAGTATTAACGTAAATGTCATAGTATTAACGTAAATGTCATAGTATTAACGTAAATGTCATAGTATTAACGTAAATGTCATAGTNCCACATTGACTTATGACGTATACCACACTGACTTATGACATTTACCACATTGACTTATGACGTATACCACATTGACTTATGACGTATATCACACTGACTTATGACGTTTACCACATTGACTTATGACGTATACCACATTGACTTATGACGTATACCACATTGACTTATGACGTATATCACACTGACTTATGACGTTTACCACATTGACTTATGACGTATACCACATTGACTTATGACGTATACCACACTGACTTATGACGTTTCCCACATTGAGTTATGACGTATACCACATTGACTTATGACGTTTACCACATTGACTTATGACGTTTACCACATTGACTTATGACGTATACCACATTGACTTATGACGTTTACCACATTGACTTATGACGTTTACCACACTGACTTATGACGTTTACCACATTGACTTATGACGTTTACCACATTGACTTATGACGTTTACCACATTGTCTTATGACGTTTACCACATTGGCTTATGACTATACTATACCATATTGAGTTATGGCGCACACGACATTGATTTACGACATTAAAATACGACATACACTCATTACAATTTTGTCAATCATGTTAAACATGAACCCTCTAATCCAGTGTGTAGCGACCAGTGGCGTAGGAGAGGGGGTTGCGGAAGGTTGGTTCGCCCGGTCGGCACTTTTTTTTTCTTTTTATGGAGTAGGGAGGCATTTTTGGCCAACTGAAGAGATTTTTTCAAAGAAGGGGCGGAAAAAGTATTGGCCTGCCCGGGGAGGTAAATATCCTTGCAATATTACTGGTAGTGAAACATAAATTTTCCTAAAATCCATTTTAGAGACAAAAGTAAAAGAAAACGTTGTTTTTGATGATAAATGTAAGCAAACCTTGTGTTTGATGATAATCCCCAGGAAGATGGGAAGTATCGCCACCGCAAGGGTCTCCAGAATGTTGAGATAAGGGATCTTGAACTCTGTGATATCGTCTTTGAAAGAGTCCCCCAGGATGAAGATCCACATAGGGATGAACGCTGCAAGGAAACAAAAAAGTTGGAAGAATATGTTTGTAAAAAACAATGCCCAAACAAGAGCGTGCAGGAAACAAAAAAATGTGGTGGGTGTTCATGTGGGGGGGGCGGGGGGGCGGGGTTTGGGGCTTGTCGAGCATTGATATTATCTTGTTTTTCTTGTGCATGTTATATACATATGCGTTTTATTTTTAATCTCATTTAATTTTGGGATTAAACAACTATTT